ACGACCCTCACTGATCTCATAGATCTGGATAACATCCAGGCTGGCAGTGAGCCCCTCTTACCTGCAGCCTCACCAATGTTCAAGTCAGAGCTTTCCTGGACAACCCCATGCATGACCCTGCCTGGCCCCGTGACACCTTGGTGGAGTGTAGGAGCGCCAAAAGGCAAGTGAGCGAGGCCAGCAGCCTGCAGTAGCCAGGATAGGCAGCGCCACATCCCAGCCTGTGTGGTCAGTAGGAGGTGATGGAGAAATATAGAAGCCAAGAAAGATATGTTCTCTATGAAAGCAACACCTCAGTCGAGTAGTAAAACCGGTTTTTGTGTATTTGATGATTTTGTTTTCAAAGGAATATTAAATTCTATTAAATGTCAAGATCATTCGCTCACTATTCTGATCATTTTCATCCTAAATTCAACTTGACACATTTATCACTTAAATAAGCCATTTATGGGTGTTGGTAAAAGGGAATACCGAATTTCATAAGATTTCAAGTTAAAATTCATCGGCAAAAATGAAAACCTTTCAAATCTGGAAGATATCATATGATTCTGCCCATAGAACTACATCATTAATACTATGGCCGATTTCAACTCAAAAAAAATCGCCTCCGATGATAATAATCTCTACTAACCCATGGCTCAGGGGATACTACTCAAAATGAGGTTTTTGGGTGTGAAGCGATGAACAGTACAACACTGTTTCACTGCCCACCCCCCTAAAGGCTGGCTAACATACACTAATTGAAAAATACATGTCCCAGTTATGCCTCGCCGGGCGTCTTATCTCTGGTAAAACAAACTTTGGAGTTGGTTGCGTGGGTAAGCCTAACGCAACCCATGACAATCGCCCCTACTAAGAAAAATTTTTCTTCGGAGAATAAAAATTTCAGCACCTGTATACAATCAAGAGAATGCCTAGCCCAGACACACAATTCAACATTCACACTGTGGTGTGTGTGACACTAACACTGCAACGGGATGTAGTCGCCAATCGCCACTGAGGGAAAACCTCAACATTTACTTTAGATTTTCAGGCTGGAGGAAAACTCCGAGGCGAGGGTGACAATTCCCGAGCAATAGTTCATGCTAAGCGTAAACACGCTACATTTATGTTACAGCAACGTGTTGTGTAGTGTAGGGTATGTAGACATTGTTTAGGTGGTACAGGTGTCGTGTTATGTTCTTAAATGTAGAGAGGTGTGAAAAGGTTTACATAACATTTGAAGAGTCGTCAGATGCGTGGAGGTTCGAGTTGACCGGAACATATGGACGCTCCCACACATAGGTCAGGTCCTAGACACGCTCTGCAATGTCGAATGAACTTTCCCGGTGGTGAAGAGAAGGACTCCTCCAGCCGGCTGATGTGGAACTGGGTCCCTCTTTCGCTGAGGGCCCCCAAGGTGAGGGTGTACTCTGCCCATCACTCACCATTGGGTCTACTGTCCACCGCCTCAAGCTGAAGTCCACCAAAATGAAGATGTAAATCTGTCCGTCACTCGCCCTTGGGTTTACTGTCCACCGCCTCGTAGTGAATCGGGAGGCTGAGGTGGAACTGGGTCCCTCCGTTGATGAGGACCCCCAAAGGTGTGGAGGTACTCTTCCCGTCACTCACCCTTGGGTGTGCAGTCCACCGCCTCGTACTGAATCAGCTGGCTGATGTGGAACTGGGTTTGCTGACCACAATGTCCGCCGCCACCCTCTCAAGGGTTCGGGGATCACTGTGAGAGGCCACAGGGGTGCAGGTAGAACTCGCCCTCCGTCGCTGGTTCTGGCAAACATCACAAGTCCTCTTCTGTTTCTTTATTTTCCACCTTTAACTTCACATTCAAAATTTCTTAGAGTCCCCTCAAATGTACTAGTAATCATTTCGTAGTACAATATACGCGTTTGCACAAACTGCTGACAAGAGTGCAATTATCCGCGGTCTGTGTCCCTGTTCGGGCGCCAATTGTCATGGTTTTGGGGTGGATCGGTGGTAGTAGGAGTGGATTATATTATATAAAGATAATAATATGTCGTATTTCTTATTTCTTACCGTAGAGTCCGATACCTTCACACTGATTACTTACAGGAGATTATGGCGTATCTACGTAGAAGTTTACTCCACCACTCGACATTCCATGATTTATACTTGATAAATGATGATTTAATGAATTCATTTAATTTTCAACATCTATCTAAGTTACTGGTTATACTTTGTCATAACCAATCAGTCATTACCTTTAGTAATAATAAGATAGGATCACAGATACGGGCAGATAATTGCACTTACATTTATTTGTCAAGCTTCCATACAATGATTTACAATTTGCATGGATATATGATTTACTCACGTTCACGCTGTAATAAAATTAATCTTCTAAAACAGGGAATTTCCAACTTGGGGACACATGTGATTACTCTACTGTGGTATGACTTAACAGAGCCTTAATTCTTCAAGTGATACATTTACTGCCAGCCTGGATTGCTTTTGTTGCAACCAGGCTTCATCACAAGAACTTCTTCCCACGGCCATAACAACAAAAAGGTACTCTTGGGTTACCACACATAGTCTCGCGTCACTGACAGTCACTGTGGACGGTTGTCGCGGCAAGTAGAACTGGTAAGCGTGACTTGAATTAACCATTAGGTGCAATAGACCAGCCTGGATTGCTTTTGTCGCAACCAGGCTTCCACACGTGATATTTCCACGGGGATAACAAACCTAGGTTAACACACTTAGTCTCGTGTCGATCACGGTCACGGTAGACGGGTGTCGTGCAGGAGAACTCTGTAAGCGTGAATTAATTAACCATTTACTGTAGGTTTGATAGGCCAGCCTGGATTGCTCTTGTCGCAACCAGGCATCCACACGTGATATTTCCACGGGGATAACAAACCTAGGTTAACACGCTTAGTCTCGTGTCGACGACGGTTCACAGGACGGAGTGGCGGTGTAGGACTCTGTGTGGTGTGGTGTCCCGCCCCCCTTCAGGAGGGAGAGAATGGAGACGACGTCCTAACTAACCCATGGCTCAGGGGATACTACTTAAAATGAGGTTTTTGGGTGTGAAGCGATGAACAGTACAACACTGTTTCACTGCCCACCCCCCTAAAGGCTGGCTAACATACACTAATGAAAAATACATGTCCCAGTTATGCCTCGCCGGGCGTCTTATCTCTGGTAAAACAAACTTTGGAGTTGGTTGCGTGGGTAAGCCTAACGCAACCCATGACAGGCTTCAGCAACCAAGGACTTTAAGGTTATATTTATCAAGGTTACTAATTGCACTGTTCCACAATAAATTAAAAATGATGAGATATATAACGTAGAGTTATGTTTATGGACAACATTTTATTGTCTTCTACGATCGTTGTCTGATTGAAGAGCTTAGAATAGATATGCCCCGGGGTGGGGTGGAAAATATAAATGTAAATAATTTGAACGTTTTCAACAACAAGAAATTTACAAAATCTTCACACCTCAGAAGGTTTTATATACAACATGACCTGGAAAGTGTTCAGGTGTTTAAGGCCTCCAACTCTACAATAATCACTTAAAAACAAAAACAAAGGTTACTGTGTCTTAAATTTCATGATATGTGATATTTATAGCGTGTAAAAAATCTGTTAATTCGCGATTTTTTTCCTCTGGGAATGTGATCCATAAGATTGATATAAATCGATAAGAAAATTTGTTGGGAGGGTTATTTGTTGTTATCGGGCAAGTTTTTTCATGGACATCAGATTCGCAAGTGATGTTGATTTATTTAATGTTGTACAGTAAAACATGACAGTTGAAAGATTCCTTCAGATCCACTGAATATACCAATCGACACATACTGTTAGGATCGTTAAATTCCTGAATTTATTAGCTTCTCATTCACTAATAAGTTATCTGGATCACCAACATTGCTGCCTGAGGTAGCCTTCGGTGATTTTTCTATATTGTTGACCCACGTGTTACACTCATAAGCGGCCACCACTTTGATGATGTAAATTAAACAACCCCATTACTGGAGAGGTTTTTGTCAGCAACATCCTGCAAACGAATCTGGATTGATTTGAGGTACCTTTTACTGTCTATATTATTAGTCCTTTACTTTATTTGTTTTCTATATTAAATTTTTCATTTAAGTTAACTCCTTTCTTTAAAACGTCACGGAAATAAATCTGGGAAAAAACCTTAATATCGTTATTAATCTTCTTTTGAGAGATGAATTCACGACTGGGTAGATAACCAACTCTTTAATCAAACATAAAACAGAGGAAAAATATAGAAAATAAATAGCTTCAATATCTTATTTTGATATACATTCGATAGTTACAGAGCATACATGTTCTCCCGTGTAGGAGGGTCACATGGCCACACAATGAACGGAATCAGGGCATAAACACAATCAATATACTCCATAGAACTCCAGTGTGGCTCACTATACATACAATATTCTTGAGGTTTAAACTATAATCCTTTCCGGAAGCACTTCTTCTGTATTGGCTCAAAGTGGACCGGGATAACCAGTAATAAACAAGAGACTATACTTTATGTTAGGTTTTGTTATACAAGTTTCTCTCGTCCTGAGGTTGGCTTCCCTTAGGCAAATCGATCCCTGGAGAATAATTCCGTTACTCTTCATGCGAATATATCTCATTAATGCATATTGAAGAAAACATTAGTCACTGCTATACAAATTTTGAATGGTTTCACCACAAGCTATAGGATAAAAATCAATATGCATTAAATCACATTGTCATTATTAAAAGGTTCAATAAGAGCCTAGTCAACCGTCTTCATAATGTCAGTCTTCAGCCTTTTAATTTATTTTTATAAATAATCTTGGACAAATATCAATATAATACGTATAGAAAATATTATATAATATTAAAGCTTAGAACATATCCTCTGTGTACAGTACTCCCCAAGTCACCTGACAAAATGCTTCAAGTTTTCTACAAACATTAATAGTATGAAAACTATAGGTGGAATGATTTTATTTTTTCAAGTTATGCAAATTCATAATATTATCTTTAATATATATTACTTTATTTCTCATATAATACTAAAGATAACATAATTGATACAGACCTAGCCTCTGGTGAGACTAAGGCTACTGGAGGTATTTGCAACACATTCTCTCATATCCAAAGAAAAAAACAATTATTTTCCTCTGTTTTTAGCATCTTGATTGCCCGACCATCACCTTAACTGATACACTTGGCAATACTGATTTTGTTTTTTTGTTTTTACATACTGAAACCTGCCACAATATGTAGTTTATGGTATAGGATAGGCCAGAGTTGTGTAGGCACAACATAGGTTAGCCTCCGTGGTGTTACCATTAGGAATTACATTTATGATTATTGACCTAAAATTGTAAAGTAAATTTGGAGAAATGTAGAAAATAAGAAAGATGAAGCTGGAACCTGTCTTGTATATGTTAGAGAATAAGATACAAGACCGAATTCAAAAGCATCCTTGAAAGTTACTACCAGCCAGCCAATTAAGCTCCGATTAGTAGAATCAGAACTAATGAGGCATTCACATACTCTTGGAGGAGTGAATACAGCCGCACTAAGCCTCACAAAACCAGGGGGTTATAATTATATGAGTAATTTCTTGCTCTAAGATTTGTTTTAGAATTCGGTCTCATCGAGGAAGTTAAGATGGGAATAATTATGCGCCTAGGTAGTGTCAGACACCTTGAAGGAGACTTAGGATGACATCTCTTCCTCTACTCCTATGTCTTGTTCATCTTCGTCGTGGTCATCGTCGCTCACCTCACGTTTTCCAAGACCAAAGCTATAAGGACCAGCTCTTTTGCCCAGGCCGAATGAATACACTCCAGAACGCCTTCCCAGGGTGTATTGGTCGGAGTCGGAATCGCTACGTTTGCCAAGACCGAAAGAATATGGGCCTGACCTTTTGCCAAGGCCGAATGAATACTGCCCAGCCTTTTTACCAAGGCCGAATGCGTATGGATCAGCTCTCTTACCAAGACCGAAAGCATAGGGGCCACTTCTTTTTCCAAGACCAAAGGCATATGGACCAGCTCTCTTTCCAAGACCGAAGGCATAATGACCAGCCTTCTTTCCAAGACCAAACGCATAGGGACCAACTCTTTTTCCCAAACCAAAGGCATACGGACCAGTCCTCTTTCCTAGACCAAAGGCGTACGGACCAGTCCTCTTTCCAAGACCAAAGGCATACGGACCAGTCCTCTTCCCCAGACCAAAGGCATACCGACCAGCTCTCTTCCCAAGACCGAAATCGTATGACCTCCTGCCAAAACCACTGTCGGGTGCATCGCTCCTCTTACCAAGTCCAAAACCATACGAGGTAGCCCTCTTGAGGTCATCGCTGTACTGTTCCAAGTCGCTGAGTTCCAGCTCATCATCCCCATCGTCGTTGTCGTTCACATTGTCATAGTCATCCGTCTCACTAAAAGCGCGTTTCCCAAGACCGAAACTGTAGGCAGTGGGTCTCTTTCCCTGTTCATATGCGTAGTAACGCTCCTCGTCATCTTCGTCACTGGAGGCACGTTTCCCAAGGCCAAAAGCATAATCCCGGGGCCTCTTGTCCATGTCCATGTCGGGATCCCGTTTGCCAAGACCGAAGGAATACATCTGAGATCTTTTATCAGAATCTTCATCAGATTCTCGCTTTCCCAGACCGAAGGCATAATTTCGTGGCCTTTTCTCTATTTCCATGTCGGGGTCCTGTTTGCCAAGGCCGAAGGAATACTGTTGGGTTCTGTTTTCCATGTCGTCGTCTTCCCTCCTTTCTTCACCAGAGTCTCGTTTTCCCAGACCAAACCCGTACAACTTTGACCTCTTGTTCTTGCTGCTTTCTCTTTTACCGATCCCGAAGGAGTATTTGGCTCTCTTGTCCTCTAGGGTATCCTCGGTGATGCTTACGTCTCGCTTTGTCCTTGGAGACGCCCCGTCCTCTACCTTTGAGACCTCCGGGAGATCGCCGACGCTTCTCTTGCCCAAACCGAAGTTATAACTACCTGATTTCTTGCCTAGCCCGAAAGAATAGAGGTCTGATCTTTTGTCCAGGCCCAAAGAGTACAAGCCCTCGCGTTTGCCCAGACCGAAGGCATAGCCGGGGGTTCGTTTTCCGAGGCCAAATCCGTAGTTGCTATGTCGTTTCCCATAATCGTAGAGGTAACTGGGCTCTGTGTCATAGTACTGCAGCACCTGGCAGGGGAGAAGAACATGTTGTTAGTATGTGTTGACTATCTTGAGGTAAATTTAACCTTAAAATATATGGGCATCTTTTACTCCAATAGGGAAGATTTCTTTTGGTAATATAGGATTTCTTTTACTCAAGTTGAGAGGGTTTGTTTTGCTCTAATAAAAAAGGGTTTCTTTTACTCTAATAAGGAAGGTTTGTTTTAATTAAATATGGAGGGTTTCTTTTAGTTAAATAGAGAAGTGTTCTTTTAGTGTAATGGGGAGGATTTACTTTAGTTAACCAAGGAGTGTTAATTTTTCAAATATAAATATCCATTTTGTGTTAAGCTCCATGCAGATGAGAAAATTGACGGCACAGTGTACTCTTTGTTTTGTTTTATCAGAGTGAGATAAACTCACCATTCATATTGTTTCTTAAATCACCCAAACAACATAGCTCGCTCCAATGGGCAAACGCGTTCACCCTCTAATGTGGTGCCGCCGAGCGGCCAGAAAGTAAAACAAAATAATTACCAGGCAAGGAATAAAAGGAGGAAGACGAAGAATTTGGCGAAATCACAATTTTCTTTTGTTTTGTTAATTTTTTTTAGCAGCTGCAATGGGGCCCCGATACTGTGCATCTATTAAGTGTTCTACTGACTCTCTGAGGAACAGAAACCTGTTTTCTGCTGATTTCTCGAAGATCCAGAGAGGTTAGTCGTATACCTACTTGTGTCATTGTTGACTGCTGACTGCTCATTAGTTTTATGAGCTCTTTCTTTATTTAGTACTGATAACGATCCACTCTTCAAAATTTCTAGTTAACATCACAATATCATTAAGATATATAAAATGAGCAGGATGTTATTGTATTGTCTAAAATAAAAGGCTGGAATTTTGAAGTTTTGGGTCATTATTTGTTTTAGGACCGCCCACGACTTTGTGGACGAAAATTGTGCTTTTCTTATATATTTCGATGTGTTTTGAATGGATTTCGCATTCATTTTTTGGGCAAATTCAAGAGAACCTCACCAGCCCAACCCAACCCAACTAAATTGTATGATAAAAACACACACAAAAAAAGAAGAATAAAACCAAACCTAACGAAACCTGACATAACCTAACCAAATCTAACTTTACCTAACCTATCTTTACCTACCTAACCTAACCAAACCTAACTTTACCTAACCTATCTTTACCTACCTAACCTAACCTTACCTACCTAACCTTACTTTACCTAACCTATATTTACCTACCTAACGTAACTTTATCCACCTAATCTAACTTTAACTAACCTTAATGGAAGAATTGGGGAGTACTTCTTGATGAGAAAAGAAACCACTGTTCACAGAACTTTTGTTGGCTCATCATCTTTACTTAAGAATTTTAGACTTTGATCCCTAATTTTCAGATGTTCATTTGTGTTATTCAAGTAGAATTAAATTTTGAGATGCCATTACAAGAGGATAAGGTAAGTGTAAGTAATCAAAATGAAAGTAGATATATTGATAAACAAGAAAAAACAGAGAAATATATTAGTAATGTGGATGAAGAATATATACACAGAATTCTTTAAACTATTAATTAAATGTCTGTGGTCAAGGTAAATGGCCAATTAAAGAAAATTCTTATGGAATCTGCTGTGAGGACGTTCTCCGGAAGAAAAGAAGAAATTTGTCAAAAAGAGTAACAGTGAAAGTTTAACAGGTTATGACAAGCAATGTTGGGTGAGTAGAAAGGGATATCATAAAGCAAAACATAGATTCAACTCGAATAACATTAAATGTAATTATAAAGATATGATAGAAAAAGTAAGACATATAAGAGTGAACTTCAAAAGAGTTAAAGCGAAAGAAAAATGCAATATCATAAATAGGTTGAAGGAACTAAAAACTAAAGACCCAAAGTTTATTGGCAAACTCTACAGAGTGTTAAAAAAATAATATTCCTATAATGATAAACAAATTCTTAGATCATTTCAAAGGGATGACTGAGGAAAGAAATTATGAAAATGAATCCAGGTTGGATATTGTCACAGATGTGAGTGTGGATAATATATTAAATGCGAACATTATAGACGATGAAATAATGAAATGCATAGGAAATCTTGAAAACAATAAATCCTGGGTTTTGACAAAATAATTAATGAATATATAAAGAGTACTACACAACTGTTATGTCCACTGTACATAAAGCTATTCAACAATGTGTTTAATACTAAAGAGTTACCGGAGGAGTGGTTTATAGGTCTCAAAGGTCCCATACATAAAAATAAAGATGATGTGAGGGAAGTAAATAAGTATGGAGGTATAACTCTTTTAAGTTGTGTTGGAAAATTATTTACATCATTGTTAAATGACAGATTAATACAATTCTGTGAAACTAAGAGTGTTATTAAAGAATTACAGGCCGGGTTTGGGTGAGGATATGCTGCCATTGATCATATATTTGTATTAGAAATGTAATCGTTTTATTTCAATGCCCAAAAAGTTATTTTATTTGTATATTGACTATAGAAAGGCCTTTGACTTTGTTTGGAGGGATGGCTTATGGTATAAACTGATAGAAGCGGAATATATGGTTATTTTATAAATGTCTTTATTAGTATGTATAGAAATATTAAGTCTTGTATAATGCATAAACAAGAGATTTCTGAGTATTTTATGAGTTGTAGGGGAGTTAGGCAAGGAGAAAATTTTTCGCCCATTCTATTTTCACTGTATGCTAATGATCTTGAAGAGTTCTTGATTGAAAGAAATTGTGAATATTTTAGTTTTAATGAGGAATGGTTAGATATGATGTTGAAATTTCTGGTATTAATGTATGCAGATGACACTGTTTTCCTGGCCAATAGTGAGAAAGGTATTGTGAATGCTCTTAAGGATATGGGGGAATATTGTAAAGAATGGAAGTTAGATATAAACAGTAATAAAACAAAGATAATGGTGTTTGGAAAAAAAAAGAAATGTGCAGCGAATGATATGATCTAAGATTTAAAGAACAAATTGAAATCGTTCATGAATATAAATATTTAGGTGTCTTGTTGAATTATAATGGTGTATTTTAAAAAACTTAACATGATTTATGTAGACAAGCAAACAGAGCCATGAATAGTTCAACAGGGAAATGTAGGAAATTTGTTCTGCCCATTGACTTGCATCTTCACCTTTTTGATGTAATGGTATTACAAATTATGACATATGGGTGTGAGGTCTGGGGATATAATATTTATAAAGATTTAGAAACTCTTCGCTTAAAACTCTTAAAACATCTCCTTAACGTTAATAAAAAATACGTGTAATTCAGTAGTGTACGGAGAATTGGGTAGATGGGCTATTGATAAACATATAAAATGGTGGGATACTGGACAAGGTTAATAAATGGGAAACAGAACAAACTGAGCCATATTATGCATTAGTTCCTTTACAAGTCAAAAGAGGGGGATAGATTCTTTTCTTCATAGCTGAACCAAATTTGATCTTTACTAAATAATTGCGGGTTGTCAGGTATATGGATGATGCAAAACTAACTTACAGGAATTCAATATGGTTAATAAATGCGGTTGAAAAAAATAAATAAATTATCAGTGGAATAGAACATCGTTATGTAATACCTGTCACTTATAAACTTTTTTCAAGTTAGAAGAATATTTAATAAGGTTTCCAAAAAAATCTCAGATCTATCTTGTGTAAATTTACCCATTGTAACTGGTAGATAATAAAATATTCCAAGAGAGCATTTCTATTAAAAATGATTAGGAATTACTCAAATAAATATAACCATTTTTTGATAATGTAAATGTATAATTAATTGTAAATTGTAATTTTGATGTGATTGTTGTGATAAGGGACTGTTAAGGGAATGTGCTCCATGTTTTATAAAAGTCTGAGACAAAAAAACTTTACCGAACCCAACCTAACTTTACCTTTGCCTTGGCAATTTTGTGTCGTTTCGTGAAAAAAAAACGGCTCATAATTAATCGGTAAGCACAACCACTGGAATTTTTTGTATCGTAAACAAAGGAACTTCTATTCATGCTGAACTGTATACCTACATACCTGTATAGAGTATCTGCATAGTTATATACATGACAATTTCACTGAATTAATATTATTATTATTACTATCATTACACTTTGGAATAATGTAGCCTGATCTTCAATTTTTTTACACTGTAGCAGCCAAATCTTAAAACCTACAGTCTTGAATTTCCATCAATAGATTGGTAGTTGCGTAGTTTTGTAGCTGTACAGTACTGTACTAAAAAGTTGGTCATCAATAAATTAGCGAGCACAATTTAAGATGTGAAAAAGTGGTGTCACTGCCAACTCTGTTACCAACTTGTAAATATCGTGATATTCTTATATCACTACTAAAATAGTAGCCGGTTTAATAGCTACTGTACTATGCAGTGCATTGGTTAACTGCCTACTACAATTTGTTTTTCATTTTAAATGGTGTAAAACTGGTGTAAAGCTGTAGCTACCACTATCACTCATACTTAAGCACCGAAGCAAGAATATTTCATTAAGTAGGTAAATAATTATCTTTTACTGCAAAATAATCGATCTGAGGCATTGAGAAATTATCCCAAGATATCTAAACTTTGATGTCAATACCCTACTGATTATATACAAAACTTGTATTGAATAATCTTGTGTTATCGCACAGTATCATGCAAGACACAATAGGCTTAATGTTTGTTTTTTTGTGTTTTTTATTACTTTCAGCCGCTTGGCGACACCACCGTCGCAGGAGGATATAAAATGTAAAATTTATTGAACTTTCCTCCTATAGTTTCAGAATCCTCGACTTAACCTAACCTAATGCTGTCATAATCTAACGAAATTTAACCTAAAATTAACCTAACATAATTAAACTTAACCTAACTAAAACCTTAATCAAACTTAACTTACACCTTTCCTTACCAACCCTACCTAAATTTAACATAACTAACCTTAACCTAACATAGCTTAACCTAACTAAACTTACCTTAACGAAATCGATTGCTAACCAACCCCCCCC